CAATCGGTCATGCATTCGCCAGTGAGCGCGGCGCACTTTCTCAGCGGGTAAAAGGCGCTACGGCATTATACACGCGTACGACTTTATTAATTTGAAAATGGCAGATGGAATCGAGAAGATAAGAGTTACGGAGCGAGCGAGACTGGACTATTGCAGCGCGCGACGTGTATATAGAAGTCGTTGTAAACATATTATTAAGCCGCGTACATACGGCCGAGGCGCACATTTCTCTTGCGAAGCCGATCGAGTTTATTTTTCCTCTTTTTCAAGAGTCGTACTGGCTAATTTACTCTCGTTCGACGCGAGGAGCGTGGTATTGTATATAGATATATATTATAAGGATACAAAAATTACGCTATGCCAGAGGAGGAGAATTGCAGTGCCCGAGCGAGGTAAATAACGAAGATAAAAAAAAACTAAAGCAGATCGAGAGTGTAACTGCGGAGAGAAAGAGAGAAAAGGATACGAATGAAGAGAGAGAGAGAGCATTTCGTCATTGGCGAACGCCTCGGGGACCCTGCGCGTAAATACAACGAGGCGATCACGCGATCTTTTAGCTGGACTGCGTTGCACTGCGCCATACACTGCCGAGGCCTCGCGCAGCTCGAAACATCGCGAGAGATCGCGTCGGATATAATTTGCGCTGCTGCAGTGGCTGCTGAGTGAGTCGAAGTACGCGTCACGAAGCAAAACATTTCGAGGCTCTCTTTGTGCATCGAGGTTCGGTGCAGTGCGCGCTGCGTGCAACACTTTTCAGAATTCGGTAGCACTGCGGCCATATTTCTCTTTTTTTATGTTACGGAACGGTCTTGTGAACACGGCATCTGCGTCATGGCAACGCAATGCAATGGTAATGGACATTCGAATAAAGATCGATCCGTACACAGGGTACTATATGCGAACCAGTGGCTCGATGGATGGATCGCAACTCACCCCGGACCGGATAAGCGATTTGAAGGTAATCAAGGCCCACTTCCACAAAATCTCGGAACCACGTGTCTAAATTATTTTCATGCGTTATTCATTACATGAATTTGACGGCAAAAAATTTTTCAAAAAAACATACCTTTCAACCCGACGAATTACGCATAGAAGTTGCTCAGTATTTAATGCAAGAATCAGTATTTATAAATGATGAGTGTTTGGGATGAACAAAAAAGGATAATAATTGTATTTATCAGTGTAAAAATTGTCGTCGTTGGTTACATGAAGGATGTGCTATCAAGGGCTTATATCGCCAAGACAGTAATTTGTGCATTCATTGCAATGGCTTGGACATTGAAAATTTTCAAGTAAAAGTTGGCTTCCAAATCCAAAGGGAACAAATTCTTGTTGGCTGAGTGCGAGTCTACGATTACTTATGAAATTACCGATGTTCGATATAAAAACAATGAACACTGGTCACGAAGAAAATCTATTATCGAGTATTAAAACTTTTTTGGTGTATATAAAATGGAGAAAATAGTAACGTAATTTTACATTTTTACAAGAATATCTTTAAGCGTCTGAAATAACTGTTTTGTTTTTATTTTTGTATCTAGAACTTTGACATTTCTCTTGTGATTTGGGAAAATTCGGTCACGCGCCATCTAGCGGTAATTTATGTACTCGCTCGTTAAGAGCGAGGCTTATATCGACGTCTCAAAGGAGACTCACAACAATATGTATGCATACTTCTAGAACTCAAATGTATATTTATTAAATATTTTAACGTTTTTTGATAGCATAATTCGAAAATAGTGTTAAATTTGGAGTGAAATTTATCTTGGAATCGGATAAATTTAGTAATATAGCGCGCAATTAGAAAGCGCCGGATTCTCTCTCGAGTATATTGTATACTATCATCAGCCCGATGAGAGAGAGAGAGAGAAAGAGAGACGCACAGATGGAAAATTCAGGATAGAATCTCGGGCGAAGTTCGAAGTTCGATGGCTCAAAGATCATCTTCTGCTTTTTCGTTGCGGATACAGAGAGGTAGTATATAAGGCATGGAGGCCACAAGCGCTGCACGTACAACATCTCACGTGGAGCTGCTGCTGCTGCTGCTGAGCTCGGCAGATATCGGAGGGGCTCCAGATAATATAAAGTGCGTAGATGTAGCGAATAATTCTCCGATTCTATCTATCCTTCTCTCTCTCTCTCACGTGTCTGTCTCCTTCTGTTACGCCCGGCTACATTATGTAGATTGACATGCCTATATATACAGGCCGGGGGAGCTGCTGCCGCTGCTTCTGTACTACGTGAGCGACAAAAGCAACCACCAAAACATTCATCATCGGTGCGTATGAAGGAGCTGTAGAGTCGCGCGAGCTTTTACGTATGCAACGCTAGTCGCCGTCGACGTCTGATTCGTCGCGTATATACCATTCCATACGTGAATTCATATATAATACCTATAGCTAAACGTGCTTATATTCTATTTATTAATGTTGTATATCCGCCGATGCCTGTCAGCACGACGACGACGACTGCGAGCTACTCGAGTATACAGTCGCGCGAGACGTGTCACGACTCACTCACTCAGTCGGCTCGGCTCGACGACGTGAGGTAGGTAGGTATATACTGCACGTTGCATATAAATACACAATGTAAGCTCGCGCGTCGCTGTGTTGCATCGCGCGCGACTGTACTCGAAAATTGGATTAAACTTTTGAAAAATTTAATATTGTTACTGTGGAGCAATCTGGGCTCAAAAAATGATTGAATTTTAAGACTTTTATGTTTCTAAAAACTTCCGAGTAAATTCAATGGAATTGTATACTATGTCAATGATATATTGCATACACTCACCTCTGAACTCGGAGCCTCGTTGATTACGAATCAATATACATTCACGAATCGATCGATCGCAGCCAGCAACACCGCCTCTCGTATTCCATTCGAGAGCTAAATATCTCTCGCTCTCTTAGCTTTGGGCGGGGAAGCTTATAGCTGTGTCATCCACGCGCGCGCAAGGGTGTGTACGTGAATTCGTCGCCAATAATTTGTGCGTGCGGATAGGCGCCCTATGTATAATCTCGTCGTCGATTGCGTTTCGGCGTATAACGCATACACTCGCACACATACACGAAGCTCATCGATGCACCAACAAACACATAGACACGAGAACTCGGTGCATATGACCACTGCTCGGGGGTGATATCGCGTGTTGACCGTTGCGTTGTCGCAAGCTCTATCTACACACACGCACACACACAGACTCACAGACACAGAACGATGCACTGCGCTTCGATGCGCGCGAATTCCGTATTAATGTGTACTACTATGCACCGACGAAAGCTGCGTAATACATTATACAGCGGACCGCACACATCTACCCTGTGCCCGTACAGGTGTAAGTAATACACGATAGGTAGGTAGATAGGTAGGTAGGTAGGTTGAGGTACTCTCCTCTTGCGGATCATCCTCTTGTGCCGCAGCTATACGAGTGTTATATACACCCCCGCGCCGCATCATCCGCATATAACACTGCAGTCAGCAGCAGCGTCTCAAGCGCTGTCCCATGTGCCGTCGTGCACATGTATTATATTATACATATACATGATACACCTACGTCTAAGAGATGCTGCTGCCTTCGAGCTACAAGAATAAAGTAGTAGTCGGCCGAGGAGAGAGAGAGAGAGAGAGAGACTGCCTGATGTTGCACACATACACTGCACTGCGCACTACACACATACCACAAGACGTAATATCGCTCGCTCCTCCGGCCTCGCTACTAGCTTCTCTTTTATCTAGACGGTCATCTCTTGAGACTCTCTCTCTCTCGGGCGCGCGCGCGAGGGCGAGCTTCTTATATACATCACACCGCAGCTCTTCTCGTACACACTTTTAACTTCTTTCTTTGCCTCTCTCGCGTTCCCTTCCGCGTCACTCCCGCGCAGCAGCAGCAGCAGCAGCACCGACCCAAGTCTTATTACCTTAAACACTTATGATATACCGTATAGATAGCCGGGGCTATCGTGTGACGTGTACTGCACCACACTCAAATACTAACACAAACACACACGAGACACGTATCTTCTCGGCTTTTATATAATGGCACGTAATGCACCGAACTGCGCTCGTCGAACACACACTCACTCTACTTTTTCCCTCGAAAACTTTTTCAAACGCGGCTTCGAAACAATCCCATCTATATCGCGCGAAACGTCGAACGGGAGCTTTTTCGAAAATGCAACGGTAAACCGTGCGTCGCGTTTACACAGCTTCGAATGATATAATGATATTATGTAGCGGGCCCACGACCGATGGTACGCGCCCATTGTTGCGAACTGCTATTAACTCAAAGACAAAACAAAACGTTTTCTCAACAATAACCGTCTCTCTACTATCTCTCGCGTGAAAAAAAAAGAACGAGCGAGCGAATTATTTAAATGCGTGGAACGTGCGCAGTTATTAGGTGCCGCCGGTTAACCGTTGAAACGCACTCGCGGTATTGGGCGCGCGAAACGTCGTCGCCAACCGGCGTCGTGTGTGCACTGTCTAAAGAGTCGAGAGGCGATAGATACGTTAGCGTGAAAAGATAGAGAAAAAGAATACACTGGTGACTTCCGAAGAAGCGACTCTCGTTGCAAACGTCATATTTAAGAACGCAGAATGAATAGATATAGGTACGTATGTGTGACGGAGTGCGAACGCAATACCAATTAGCGCGGGATGCAACGAACAATGACGCGATCGTCAGTTTTGAGCTCTGCGCGTTTGAAATCCAGTGCTCGAAAACGCATCGTTCGATTCGACGGTTAGCACAAGTTTATATACAAAGTATGTGTGCGTAACTTTGTTTTGCCTTGACTTTCAAAAGTATGATAGTAGGCTATCATATACACACACACACTATCAAAAGCTACGCGTTACGCACGCCTATAAGTGTGTGTAGTTCATATCTGCAAGGTATCGAGTTGCTGCCGGCCACTGCCGCGCCGCTACTGCCGCTGCCGCTGTCGTCACTGTACTGCGTAAACATTGGCACGCTCTCGCACAAAGGTATTCCCGCGATATATACATTTGACCAGTCGCTCGTCTTACTTCGCAAGAGCAATTCATCATCGCAGACATTGTATTTTAGTTTCGGCGAGAAGAGAGTCTTATCGATTCGGTCGCGCCCCGAAACGTTACGACGTGTACGACTCTGCACGACCTCAAGTATCGAAGTTATTTTTGTTTCCTCGACAGTTTCTTGTGTCCACGCATCTATACAACGACAGTGATTACAAGAACAAAGAGGAAAAGTCGTTCAACGAAGCAGACTGATTTTTCGTCCCAGTGCTGCTGTGTGAGAGCCAGTTCGAGCGTGTGATGCACCTGCAACGAAGTAGACGACTGTTAGACCTCGACGACGAGCCGTTGACTTGCTGCTGCCGATTTCGAACGTTTCACGCGACTGCTGCTGCTGCTGCTCGTTGTACGACGCACTGATAAGGTGAGCTACATATATACTTTGTTGATTGTTCTGTTTACTATACGCCGCTGCTCTTCTTCGTGCTTTTTTTTCTCGAGCGATTATTTGTGTTATCGCGAACGTAATGATTTCTCGACTCGACTCGACTCTGTTTTTAATGGCAAAAATGTCACGCTCGACACAGTGCGCGAAAAGTGGATCGCACAACGACGCAGTGTCTATCGTAACGTCGTTCGTTTCGAGGTTAGGCGCGACACGCCGGCTCTCTGCGTTTTCGTTTTGTTATTATCGCAATTGTTGCTGTACAGCTCGCCCTGCGTTTGGTTATGCTCTCGAATCAACGTTGTTTCTTTTGCACAGTGCATCGATCCGCGAGTTTCGTCGCAGATTTGCATAAATATTTTCAACGTAGCCCAACGTTCGATTACGTTTGTGTTCGGTGTGCTGCGGAATCGAGTCGCGCGTTGAATCAGTGATGCACTGCGACGTCGCTTAGTTGTTGTTATTGTCGTTGTTGACACACTGGCCATAAGGCACCGACTTCGATGGTGTTCCGTTTATGCTCGATAAAAACTTATACTCTACTTTTTCATTCGTTAGTTTATTTTATAATATAATACAAAAATAAAAAATGGGAAATTTTTCGTCAGTCTTGGCGCAAGATCCTTCCGACGAATCGATGAGCGTGGACATGATGGCATCGGAAACCAACACCCCAACGTCGGAGGACGCACAAATGATGAGCGCAGACGCGCCACCTGCGACGGAGGACAAAAAATTCGCCTTGCTGCAGTGGGAGAACGAGAGATTGAAGGAGTTTTTGACGGAAAGAAATACTGAGCTGAGAAAGCAATTCAACATGCTGCTGGCCCTGCAGAACGAGATCATGAAAATTTGCAAGGATTATAGAATAAAATTCACCGAGGCCAATTATCTGATCAAGTTGCTGTCCGAGAGGGTAAAGAATTCGGTACGTTTTCTCTTTTATATTTCTACAAAATTTAAAATTTAAAATTTAAAACTTTTTTATGAAATTTCGAATCTTTATTGCAGGCACAAACAGTCGAGGCGAGCAACGAAATCGCCGCAACACCAGTCCAACCGATGAGCACCGAAAATATGTCGGAGATACATAAAGTTTTTCACACGTTGATTGAAAATATCAAAATACCGAACGACGTGGAGTTGCTGTCGCTGATGGACGATAAGTACAAAGAGTATTTAGAGGGAAAGTACCTCGCCGAAATGAACGTATTTTTAAAACAATTAGCGGAAAATGTAAGCCACGCGCATTTTATTCATCGTTGCACAGAGTAGACGCTATTAATTACTGTTTTTACAGAAATGTGATAGTAACGACGTGGACGTGGAGAACGTCAATAGTCAAAAGGAAAAGATGTTGGACTTCATCAGATGCTTTCAAGAGCAATGCCTTAAGCATCTAAATCCTGAGGAACTAACGCAGAAATGCTCCAATTTCATCAATAATGTAAAAAGTATTGTCATTCGTAATAAGGAATTGCAATGCAAACGTCTAGATAAAGAAAATAGCAACCAGCTGTTTAGTCAATTAAAAACCGTAACTGATATTCAATTACAAATTATAAGGGATGAAACGGTGACTGCCAAAGTACAACGAAATCTTCTTCAAACGTTAGTTGATTACGATCGGGTAACCGATATTTTTACGGTATTGAAAAATCAATCGCCCGTTGATTTTAATAGTGTAGAACTTAATAATAAAGACTGTAAAGTAGATAGCGGTGTAAAAAATGATGAGGAAGCGGAAGACAGCGAAGAAGCTAGCAGTGACGAAGAAGAGGAAAACGACGAAAGTCAAAGCAGCGATTTTTTAGATAGTTCGGAAGAGACGCCTGCCGCTGAGAAAAAACAAGGCCCCAAAGAAAATAACGCCGCATTTATCGAACTCGATTATATAAAACAATGTGTAAAAAATGACAAGTTAACCGAAGAACTTGCAAAGGCGCAGCAAGAGGTGAAAAACCGTGATACGGTTATCCAAGCACTTCGAGAGGAAATTTCAAAAATGTGCGACAAGGTAAAGATTGTTAATATTTTGTATTTCAATTTTCTTACGTATATACTTTGAGTTAATTTACTTTTTTAATTGAATTTAGGAGGACATAATTACTGCTTACAAATTGGAAGCTGAAATAAGAGATTTCGAAATAATTGATTTGCAGCAAGCCGAAAAAGAATATCTTCAACAAATACAAACATTATCGACTACAGTTCAAAATCAAATGGACGAGCTCGAGAGATTGCGACAAGCTGCCGGACCTAATCAACCAGCTCAACCTGAAGTACTTTAAGCTAGTTATAGTTATGTATATTTCAAACTGTAATTTATACTCTAATTAAGGTTAAACGAGTGAGTGATCGTATAAATAATTTTTTAATTAGGTACTAATGTTTTGAGAATGTGTTCAATCGTTTCTATGAGGAACAAAAGATTTATGAATCAAAATATTTATGAAGCTAAAAGATTACTTTTACTTTTTAAAAGTATATGAGCCTAAATAAATATTTATTTTTATATCTAATCAAGTTTTATTTTATTATTTTAAATTATGCATACCTACAATGCTAGAAAATTATGCACATTTTGGGAAATTCAAGTTGATTTCAAGAAAACAATAAGTTAGAGATATATAAGGTAATGTCACAGCTCTCTAAAATAATGATTATTCAAACGAATAAAAATTCATTTATTGATTCTTTTAAATACGCTTTCACAGGTAACTACAGTAAGTTTCACATTCATCAATTGAGTCGTCGCTTGAAACTAAACTCAACGAGACGAAAAATATCAAACTGCAGTGTAAATAACTATCAATTTTTAAAGTAATTACTTTCATTTCCATTCGAGATTTGTTTTTTAATTTTAAAAAAATATTCTGCACAATGTCAACAATTTTTCATTCTCGCATCAGATCGACAACAAGAAAGGAGTCACTCGATCGTCTCTTGAAATTCAATCCATCCTTCAAACATTGCCCAGTACAGTGTACAGTTGTGCTCCGGGCCTGGCATCAGTGAGAAACTGCAGCGCACACGAATGTCGAACGCAAAATTTGTGGAAGGATAAACGAGTTTGGCCTTAACTCTAGACATGCACGAGTCGCAGAGAGAGAGAGCGAAAAGAGCAAAACTCATTCGCATGCGTGTGTGTGTATGGAGCACTGCGCACTCGGAGCTTGTAAATTAAAGGCGTATACGAATTACGGATCGGGTCTTGGGATGTGTATCTGCGTGCACCCTGTGACCGCCGTAGCCGCCGCAGCCACTGCTCTATACCGCAGGAATGTCCACGTGCTGAAAGACGACGACGACGCAATGGTGATCGCAAACAAACTTAAGCCTTGCGAAGACTACTTACTACTACTCCGTTCGTAATAAAAGACTCAAGTAAGCTTTTCCTTATAACATGTAATAAGTACACGAGAAGCGCATGCTGCGGTCTGCGAGCGCATAAGTGCATATAACCGCTTATTTTCCGCTTAGCCGCTGCGTGTTTTACATCGCGTACAACCGTATCGTCGTATAAGACAGGCACATAAATATGCACGAGCGCGCATATATATATCGAGTTTTTATTTCCCGATGAATCGCAGTGAAGCTTCGAAAAACTCCGGAGAGAGATGGATAGAAAAAAAGGGGGCTGCTGCGGGTAAAGAAGAAAAAAATCGTATAAATATATCTATCCATCCGTGCGCGCGCGCGCGTCGTCGTGCACTGAGGTCGTCAAGCCAGGTGACAGCGATAAATCGCGCGCGCGAAAAGTCAGAGCGAATAAGCGACGATTTTATATAGACGCCGGAGCTTTTTGCTATATGTGGCAACTCTCGATATATATCTGTACTGTGTGTATACGCCATCGTATAAAACACGTATGCTGTATGGAGCAGCTCTGAAGCGAAGTGTATATAGCGAAAGAGAGAGAGAGAGAGAGAGAGAGCAAGTGACGGCCCTCCGACGTTTGATCTGTCCCGGCGCGCGCGTTGCGAGTCTATGTGCTCGCGCGCACACTAATTAATCGATGCCATACATCTTTTCCCTCTTTCTTCGGTGCCTGCCTATATATATTTCGCGCGCGTTTCGCTTTATATATACGAGAGGGAATCGAAGTTCATGCATCGGCCAGCAGCAACACAGCTCTCACGCGAAGATTATACGATCGTTCGCGCGCGCGTATCATAAGTGCACGATGCGATTTTTTCTCGAAAAATTACTCGCTCTTTCCTTGGTTCTTTTTTTTTCTTTTTTTACTTTTTTCTTTAATATGCAAACTTATTGCGCGTATAATTTGTTTCAATTTTTCGGCATTTATAACGTTCAATTAAAATTCCAGCGTTGCGTGGCTCTGTGCTGCGAGCGCGAGAGAGCCGGGGCTTATACGAGCGCAGCAGCTCACACACATATACACGTTTGAAATTTACGCCGAGATTTATCGCGGAACACGTTCGTTTGCTTCGAGGGGACTATTTAAATTTTGTTTTCTCTCCTTGTATAATGCTGCGTAAATTGTAATACAGCGCGCGCGTGCATCGGAATTAAAATTTCATTAGTTATACACCGGGGCGACCTGCATTTGCGGGTCCAATCTTTAATACCGTATATGCATGTTTGTGTGTGTGTGTGTTTGTATGCTACTGCCGCGGCGTATTATATATATACGTAGGTAAATAAAACTTGGCACTGGCCCGCTGTAAAACTGCTACTTATGCCTCGCGAGCGCGTTATCGAGAGAGAAGAGCCGAAGAGCTGAAGAACAAAAATAAATAAATAAACGAGAGAGAGAGACGGAGAATTTTCATTTCATTACAGCTCGTTATAAAAAGTTTTATGAAATTGAACATTGCGCTCCGGCTGGCTATGGTCCGCGCGAAGGGTAATGAGCAAAATCACCGAGGATTGCGCAGGCAGAGAGACGAGTCGTCGTCGTCGTCGTTGAGTTGTAACAAATTTTAGCATAGCAATACTACTACCCAAGAAGAAGAAGAAGAAGATGGAAGAAGTCAGGACTTGGAAAAGTATTAATCGAATAAATATTAACTCGTTGCTCGAGCAATTATTCATAATAATTCGCAGCTGCCCGCGTACACGTCGGTGTGTATATACCTTGACGAAATAAGTATATACCCCCGTTTTGCGATATAAACTTTCGCGCAGGCTCTAATAGAAACGTGTCCGCATCTTGACATTTGCTGCGGCTATTAAAGATCTCGGACGACCAGGACGACGACGTCGCGATCGGTGACGACGATCTTCGGTCGAGTTTCTCGTATATACGTATAAATATACCTTTAATTAATCGCTCGATTCCATCGGCTTCTCGACGCTGCGACGCGTACCTACATATCCGAGATCTTTAAATGGGATTTTTGCGCCGACGTATTATATACGCGCCGTGGCAGTGAAAGTCACCGGACCCTGTCGATGCCTCTGATCGACAAAACAATCGTCTCAACCCTCTCTATACTATATACGTGTGTACGCAGGCGCGATATCGATGATCGAATGGCGTTAACGCGTTAGTCGCTTAAATATATATCTAGAGCTTTCAAGCGATACGTATGTGTATATATGTAGGCCTCGTTAATCAGCTCTAGATGTATGTACAAGGGGGGAGAGATTTTAGTGCGAGACGCGCGAGGTCCATTAACGCGCGGGCCTGTGTCAATGTCAGCTGCAGCAGTCGCGTGCCCGAGTAGCTCGTAGTACGTAGTAGTAGTATTATACCTATGCGGCGGCGTCGAGTCAAGCGCCGATCTCTCGAGCTCTCCATGCTGTGATGCACACAGCATACCCCTATATATACATACGCACGTGCATGCACAGACTCGGGAATGCCGCCGCTCGGGTATTTCGCGTGTCGTTGTGCTGCACTATACACGTATCGCTGAATTATAGCCGTTGAATGTGGCCAAACACGCGACGCACGCACATGGCTGCTGCTGCTGCTGCCACCCCGGCAGCATTGTGTGTGTATATACCTACTATCCGTCGACGACGGCGACATATCAGCTGCGATATAACGTATAAAGCATTACGATCTGCTCTGTGACCGGCGCGAAGGGGAGCACAGCTTTTTTTTCCCCACCCCCTCGTCCTCCGCACATACTCCGCGCGCGCCGTGTTATTTTTTCACGAGGAGCTTTTTTTTTGTAGCTTTGGATTTTCGCGCGCAAGCCTAATCGCGTCCTGCCAAAGTAAAGTTTGATGTAACGCACTTCCCAACGAGGCAACGATAGTAGCTATTTTTTTTATTTTATTTTATTCGCTCGGCAGTTGCCGCATATGTATACGTTTCCTGCCCTGTTGTATTATATATAATATGCACCGGTGTGGTAGAGTTGTTCCTATATACTATACCCACCCTCGTAGTTCTTTTCGCTTTTTCATATTGTCTATGTGTGCGTCTGCGAACATTCGACGCGTAACGCCGGTGCGATAAAAATAAAATGTTATATACGCGTTCGATCGTACGCGAGCGAGTGTCGACTTTTTGAGTGCATTTGTCTTGGGCTTTCTCGAATTTCGCGCGTGTGGAATATATTTCACGGTATAAATCGTGAAATTCCACCCCCTCTTGTACTCTCTCTCTCTCGCTTCTCGTCGATGTCGCTACTGCTATATATATTGTTGCTACTTATATACGCCGTGTTATTATATGAAAATATTCCGGTCCATTCGGCGAAAAATATATGAAATAAAGGAAAGGGGGGCCCAGTGGCAATAATTTTTATCTCGGTTTTGATGCATCAATTCGACCTGCGTCGTATGCGTACATATACTTTATATATGCGCGTATGGCCGATTGTAAAACTCCATCGTTCGCTCGTTCTTTCACGTCGTTGACGAAACGTTCGTGCATTATATATGTATAAAACGTAGCAGCGTCGTCGCTCGCAGCAACTTATGAATATTAATAAAATGAAGAGAATTCCTAAAAAAAAGCGAGTAGTCGCTACAGTAGTAGTAGCTACTGTCTCATTTTTTATTCCATCGAACGCAATTCAGTGGCAACGGTGGCAGCAGCAAGCTGTGCTCGCGCGTATATATGGAATCGGCGCCAAATTCCACCGTGACTCGCGCGACGCGTTGCTGCACGCAATTCGTACGTACGTATATATACGAGAATTTCCTGCAGTTCGAACGAGCTACCAAAAAAGATGAACTCGAAGAGAAAAAAGCTCGACGAATATATTCTACACGCATAATTCGAGAACGGAGAAAAGAGGCAAAGTGTGTGACACGCAACGCGCGAGATGATAAAATAAAAATCAAGCGTAAAATTATCATTATAACCGACTGCACGATGGACCCCGTGCACGGGTTTCGAAAAATGAATAAAAACGGTCCCAAGATAAGAAAGGCACGACGTAATTTACTCGCGATTTTTTGGCACGCGGGACATAAAGATACGCTGTCGTTTATACTAAACGGCGCAGCATCAACATTAGCGAGAAATTACACGGCTTACGGATTCCGCGACTCGCGCATATAA